CAGGAGCCCTTCCCTCATAATCACACAGGCAATTACCACACTGTAATGCAGAAAGCAGAGCTGGCCATGCCTGTGACAGGCTCTGATGTGGGCACACATGGACACAGGGGGAGAGCGACATGGAAGGCAGCTGACTTTCCCCCAGTTTCTTCTATGTTAATACTCTCCGAGCAGAACTCCTTCCTCATGGTTCAGCATTGTAAACTAGAGGCCCTAAATTTCACCAGTCTCTCCAAGGCACAGAATTAATACTGACTTTCATTTATGCATCGTTTGGCAGAGGGCTTTGTCAGGCGTATTGACAAGGACATGCTCTAAGTCACAGAATGCATAGTGGCTCTGTGTGATTGAGCTAATGAGAGTGGAATGGGGTGAGGGTTGGTCATATTCGAACATCCTGTGACTTAATATAATATGGGAACGTCAACTGAAAATGAAATCCTAGATTTAGATCAATCTGAGTAGCTCTTGGGTTGATATTTGTATTTTAATTTTTTCCTAAACATCTGATAAACTTAAAAAATTGCCCCACAAGTTAAGTAGCACCTGGCAGTCAAAAGGCTCCTTGATATGAGTATGGGCTGGGCTAACCGGGCAACCAGTCTGGAGGTTAAGTACAGAATACAGGACAACTAGGTTAATTGAAGGATTCATTGAGCGGAGGCAGAGAGCAGATAATAGGGTTAACCTTATTATACTATGCAATTTGATCTTCTGGGTCCCTCCTTAGTATGCTGTAATGAAGAAGAAGCATTGGGAGATCAGTCCTTTACCTACCCACTATGGCATTGAGTTTGGAAGCCTATAAGCTACACACTCATGTGATTGTGTTTTGAAAACAATTCCTAAGTAGGAGTCCTGTTCCACTGTCGCATGAACCCTAAACAAAAGCAGGGGGAGATAAAACGTGACTTCTGTGTCTTCAGTGCTGGAGCCTGTACTCTTGCTCCCTGCTCTGCTCCTCTCAGCATTCTGCTTTCTCCTCCTGGCCTAGAAACCTGTTCCCAGGAAAAGGAATGAGAATCCTAATGCAGATTAGGTGTTCAAATGTACAAATCCCTAATATGGCTTAATATGTCACTTTTCCTGGGATTGCTTTCACTTCAATGACAGATGACAAGGTCAATGCTAAAGGGACAAACCTTCATGGGAAGCCAGCAGTTTGAAAGCCTTTGTAGGACCCTGATAATCCAACATGAAGTATAGACCAGGGAAGGCCAGGCCTGCTCCAGGGTGACTGTCCTTCTCGGGAAGAAGACACTCTGACACCCAAGTGAGGAAAGCAAAGGCTCAAGCAGGGTAGTCAGCGGCCCTCAGAGCCCACATTTCCTATATGGCTTTGGGCTCAGAGCAAACATAAAGCATGGTCACAGTACTGGAAATGTCTAATGCATCCATCAGTAGCACTGAGGCTCCATCATTTATGCACACATCTGAATCATTCCTAACATGCCCAAACAGACACACGCAGGTGTCAAGCAATGACAGGGCCCTTTTTGGAGTGACAATGATTAAAAAAAATAAAGCGAGTTCAGAAATAGCTTCCCCAAAAACTATTACCTGAACAATCTGGTAGTTCCTAAATCTTGAATTTGTTAAAACAAAACAAAATAAAGAAAAAGTGAAGAAACCCTATTAAATGACAGGTGCAGGTGACCAGCACACTGCAGAGAATTCTCCCCTGGGCAACCCCTGATGGCCATGAGGGAGTGGGCAGGTGATATTAATGGTATAATTAATGCCTATTTTATAATATCACACATGCGTTTTGGCACTATTGACACCACCAACAGTTAATGGAATCATTTGAATCACACCCTCCCCCGAGTCACAACATGGCTATGGCCAGGACAGGGAAATACATGATAGGGGTGCTTCCCAAGACCTGGCTGAGGACACACAGTGACAACTTTTGAAATAACTAAGTCCACTGTACACAGGTCACTCTGAAGGGTATGCACATTCTTGATTCAGGCAAATTCAAGAGTTAGATTATTGAGGTTGGTAGAAATGCTGGGATGCAGGACCACACCCACCAACCCACTTCCACAGTGGAAGGGCAAGGTAAAGAGCACACGAGAGAAAGCATGGATTCTGAAGAACACTGGAACATCAGGTGTTCCTGAGGACATCTACAGAATCTCACAGTTTTGGATGGATTGGGTCTTGGTCCATATGCATCTGTGGTATACATGGGGCTCACTGCTGAATTCTTCCTCTTGCATTTTACTGGCTTGTTATTTCAGAATTAAGTAATGTCTAGAACTTGACAAGCCTCAGCTCTATTTCCTTAAACTTTCTTGAGCAGGCCATGAATGTCTTAGTTGGTCTCAATTCAAGCATCCAGTTAAAGAAAAATGATCAATTGGGGCCAAATAAAGGGTTTAGAAAAGCAAAATGAGCCAACTGGTAGCTTCTCATGATGAGACAATAGGAACAAATGCAGTATGCTAGGCATGTGCGTTTGGAAAATTTCATCCCATGGTAAAGAGAGGGAGGGAGAGCCTGCCACCCTTTGCCAAGCCAACAGTCCAAAGAAGGAAATTCTATTTGACTGGTTTACCCAAGATCAGGTTATGACCACCTGACTTGAGGCAAATAGCACCTTCCTGATGGCAGTAATGAGACGAAGGCAAATATAAAGTCACTGACACCACCCTCCCTGACATTCTCACCCTCCTATCTCTAAAACTAACTTTAGCAAGGTTTCTAAGGGAATCTTAGCCAATGAGTTTTGAGCAAATCTGGTCATCTTTTCTAGAAAAGTGTATGAATATGAAAGATCCATATCCAGCACCACCTCTTTGCAACCAGATAGCACATTCTTCAAAAAGCTGAGCTAGTGGATATTTTCCAGGTGGGATTGCAGTGTTGATTTTTATGAGTGGGATGGGGACCAGGGTCAGGGCCCAGTGATTAAGAAGATAAAGCTCTCTACATATCAGAGGTTCCTCAGTAATGAGCTTCTTAAGAAGCCACACCAGGAAAGGGAAGTTAGTTTGACCTCAGTTGTGATTTAAGCCCTTTTAGGAACCTCTACTACCTTAGCTACTGACGGGAAACTCTGGTGCCACCAGCTTGTGCTCTGTAGAGTGCTGGTCCCTATTGTCTACTTAGAAAGTAAGAGTCAGACCTCTGTCTGCTTAGAGCCACACTGAGCCTGGCAAAGCCCAGGCCCAAGTGAATGAACATTTCTTAAACAGCAGTAACAACAGCTTGGGAGAGTGGAAGGGCAAGGACAGGATTTACTTTCCCCTGACTTTTTCACTTTTGAGACTTGCATCCACATTCACTTTCTCCAGACACCCTGAAGCAAAAACCATTCAAAACAATTCCCCCAAGGGAAAAAGGAAAACTGACAAAACACTTTTCCCCCCTCATTCCCATCCCCACCCCACTCCCTCCAGCCCAACACCCTGAATACTCACAAGAGAACACTTTATACAAAATTAATTAGAAAACAAAATATTTACATATGAAATAAACACCATCTTGATTTCGGTCTCCAGTGGAGACTGACAGAGCCCCCTGTGTTCTAGATTGCTGTTCGCTAGGTTAGTTGGTTTGGCTTTTTTTTTTCTTTTTTGTATTTTTAAGGGGTGAGGTAAGAGGAAGAGTGAGGGGTTGAGCTCCTGGCTCTTGGCAGAGTCAGGGTGAAGCAGTGTTTCTACGGCCCTTCTCCTTCTTCCTCCTGGAGATGCCCCACACCCTCTGTCCTCTCTCTCAGTCTTTCCTTGAATCTAAGGTAAAGCACTCCGTGCTCCTCTCTCCAAATCTGTGAGAGGTTCAGCCCCTTGCCCCCATGTTTGTTTTAGAAAGAAAGCAGAGCTTTACAAGGCCTTCCGTTGGCTTTAAAATGAAAGATACTGAGGTAAACTCAAGGTGGTGGGGACGGGGAGGCATTCGAGAGCAGGGAATGAGGAAGGATCTGGAGGCAGGGTGGACAGGAAGGCAAAGAGCAGCCCTGGAGAGTGGACATGAAGAGACATGGCAGCTTTCTTCCAGAGGAGGACGAGCACCTTTCTGGTCTATGTATCCTGTGCACAATGATGCGGTCCTGTGGTCAAGCTTCCAGACAGACCTTTGGATGTCACCCTGATTGAGGGGAGGGTGGCAGGACAGTGGGACAGACCCACAGAATACTCCTACCCCAGCTGATGGGACCGGCAGTGACAAATATTCTTTTTCCTTCCCAGTTTTCCAACTTGAAGTAAGGGGCACATCTCTGCCAATACCCTCATCCCTGGATTTGTATGTGCACACACGCACATTTCTCCTCCATGAATATATTTACTTCTGAATGGTACAATGTGAGAGGGAACAGAGGTGCTGCAGGAGCGTAGAAGGGCTCTACCAAGAATGTTCACACTGGGCTCCAGTCACACTCCTAGGGAGCCAGGCCCAGAGAGGGGGCGGGAGGAGCACTCCTGTCTACTCCTCCCACTTCTGAATCTCTTCCCTTCTCTCCAGGCTTCCTGAGCTGTGCTCATGAGGCTCATTTCTCTTACTGTCTGTTTCCCCTTATCTGTTGTCAATTCTGGGGGGAACAGGCCTGTTTTTCTAGCTCCAGGTTAAGTAAGAAGGGATCAAAGCATTGAAAACATCCCCCTCTCTCACTTATCCTACCACACAGGATTCCCCTCTTCTTTCAAAGTCTTATTCCCCAAACCTTAGCCTGTTGAGGGTCTAAAAAGATCAAAGGAACTTTATAGAATCTTTTGCTCTCAAGTGTGGGCAAAAGAATCATGGCTGCTTTTGTTTCCCTATAGCCTTCCTGAATAGTTCTTGGTCCAAACTAGTTGAAACCATTGGCAATTGCTGAAAAAATAATTTTTATATCCTGATTTTGTAGGATTGTCTCATTCCCTTTTTTGGTCTCTTCTCTTCATTCTGGAAGGTGAAGGGGAAAGACAGCCAATGTTCAGGTGACACATGACCATCTCTGTTTCTATATAAGCCAAAGCAAGCACATCGCACAGGGGTAAGGAGAGAAACAACATAAGGAGTCAAGGTTGTCTTCTCCGCATTTGGAGCCCTCCACTGCAGGTGTATGCCAGTGTGCCTGGACATACATGCCCTCACAATGCCCCTATGCTGGCTTCCAATGCACATGAAACACTGTCAAAATGAACTTTCCAGTCTTCTCAGGAACCCACTCATCCACCAATGACCTCGCACTCCAGCTCACCACTAAAGAGTCTCACGGAGCTAAAGCAAACACCTTTTTTTTTTTTGGCTTATATATAAACACACATGGCCTTGCACCCTCTGCTTCGCACCCAAACCCTAGGCAGATGTCATCTATACAAAAAGAATTCAGCAAAAATTTCTTTTCATTCACGAGCTGAATGCTAACTGGTATCACTTGGATACGCTACTTTCCCATCTAAACAGAAGGATCAGTTTGGGGAAAGCTACTCCTGTGCTCCTACGGCCCCTTTCTGCTCTCCTGGCCTCACTCAAAGTGCATGACAAAGAGCTCTTCTGTGCCAGGAAGACACTCGCATGGAGTGCTTCCTCTCTTCTCTCCACCCTCCTGCACTGAGAGGGCCCACTTCATCCTCTCACAAGGGACCAGAAATGGCAGACAGATGCGGGGAGGAAGGGAGGACTGCAAAAGGGAAGAGAGATGGTGCTGGTCACCAGGGTTGCCTTCAGTAGGAACCAGAACTCCAGGATCCCATAAATAAATTAAAAGAAGACAAAAGGAGCAAGTGGGAATCAAGTTCATCCCCGACCCCCTCTGTGACATGACATGCGCACCACACAACCCACAGCCCTACCCCTCCCATACCCACCTTCACCTCTCTCTTCCCTCACTCAGACATCAGACTCAATACTAGAAAGTTTCTCATAAACATGCCCATTGCTGGAGCCATTGAAAGCCCTGGGGTTTTTGTTGTTAGGCACACAGGGGTTGGACTGGTTCCCTATACAGATGTCTTTCTGGAAACGGCCTGGCACAGCCCCATGCAGAGCCGAGACCACTGGCTTGTTGGTGACAAGGGCCCGGAAGTCCGGCCTGGCTTTCGACGCACCTGCCACAGTGGGCTGCCTGAAGAAGTAGGATTTGCTGCCATGGAGCAAGCACTGGTCGTCCCCAAAAGTGGGGATGAAAGGGTTTTGCGTGACCCGGTCAGGGTAGAGCGACTTGCTGAGCATGTAGCCGCTGCCGGGGTTGTTGTGGTGGTGGTGTCCGGCAGTGGGCACTGAGGGCTTGTTGTTGGCAAAGGTGCTTTCTCCAGCTGGCATCTCAAACATGTGGGCGTAGGGGCTCCCATCCATGAAACGACCCTTGTCTTTCAGGCTCACGCTACGCGGGGCCAAGGCGGCTTCTTCCTTCTGCAGGTCCACGAAGGTGTCATAGGAGTGCTGTCGGCGCAGTTTGTTGCGGTTCTTCTTCTGGGCCTTGGAATTAGTTGGGCTCTGAGGGTACTTGGTGGTGGAAGCATTTGACGTCACTGCCATGGGGGCTGCCGGCTGGTCCAGCTCCTGCAGGGAGTTGTCCTCACTGATATCGTACAGGTTGCCTGCCTTCTTGCAGGCCTCGCACCGGATGCATGCCTGCCGACCCGAGTTCTGTCCTGCCACTGTAGTGGAGTAGTTGTGCAGTTTGGAGGGACAGCTGCGGCAGAAGTTGCTCCCGGACCGGTCTTCCCACTCCACGTTGGTCAAGTTCTTCTCCCAGGGGGCTGGCACCCCACTGACCACACCGTGTTTGTCACCTGTCCCATGTTTGAGGTGAGACCTGTTGGTACAAGGCCCTCCTCCGCTGATAGAATCGCGCTTAAAGTCATCGTTCCGCTCCTTGTAGATGTCGGTCAGATCCACATGTTCCCAGTGAGGAGAGTTCTCCTTGGTTCGAAACTGATCCAAGTAGAAGTCCCGTAGGCCTTCCTTGTCCCTGAAGTAGCGCTTGTGGTCAGGGGAACGGGGCGGTCGGCGACGGTAGGCGAGCTCGATCTCGTCGAACTCCCGCCTGGACTTTGCGGAGGCTGGCCGCTTCTTCAGGCTGTCCTTGTACTGTTGCTTACGGCGCTTGGCTGCATTACCCTCAATGTTGCCATAGGTGACCGTGTGCGTGGAGATGTCAGAGACATCCGAGCGGATCAAGTCGTCGTGGCCACTGTAGCGGTCACTCTTAAAGGAGAACTTTCCATACAGGTCACTCAGCTGGCTGTGTTTGGAGGAGGGCAGGCCGATATCCAGGGGCTTCTTGCTGATGGACCTCGGCTGGGTGGTGAAGGGTGGGTTGTCACAGTCGTAGAGCCCGTCAATGGAGCTGGTGCTACCGATGCTGTGAGGCCGGTGGTGATGATGATAGTGGTCTTGGTACACATTGCTGTCCTTCAGCTGCAGGTTGCCAAATGTTCTCTCCACCTCGCTGATGTAGTCGCTGAAGAGGTTTTCCTCGCAGGGCGGGTTGTTGTAGGACTTGCAGTCCGAATGCGTGAAGCTGCGGCGGTGCTCAGAAATGTCATACACAGATGACTCCCGGCGAATGAAGTCCAGGGCACTCTGTGGGGAGCCATTAACACCAGACAGATTGGCCATGTTCTTGGCCGTGCGGAGCAGGCGCAGGATGTTGGAGTGTGTGTTGTTCATCGTCGCAGTGGGGGAATTCATCACCGATTGGCGGTCCTCGATAGCCACCCCATGGATGCAGCTGTAGATACCCTGAAATGACACAGGATGAGATGGCTCAGTGACAAGGCTATGACACTAAAAATGACCATAATCAATGTACTCCTACTGCTCATTGTCTATCTGGTTAAGAAAATGCCAGGGAAACCTTGAAGCAGGAAGATTAATATACTTATGTAAGATGTGGCTAGAAGCCCATCTGGTTTATCTTCCAGAATTCAGCAAGTTTCCTACCATGAGCTAAGGTTGATGATGTGGCTGTCAGAGAGGGTGCTGAGAGGCTTGAGCAAAAACGCCGGACTCACAAAACTTGATATTCTTGCCTCAACTCCACTCTGGACTTACCTTGATTTTTAAAAATCTCCGTCTAAATTTTTGCATTTTAAAAATAAGCCCATGATATGAACCCATGGTCAAAAACACATCACCCGTCACCTGGAGGTCCGTGGAAAGTTCTACAGACACAGAGGTTGCTCTGCCCTGGCCGCCACGCCTGGCTCGCAGTGAGCACAGTGGGGCTCAGTAGCTCACAATTGCCACTCTTTTCTGGGTTTGACAAATTTTGAGCAGCTTTTAGAATTTCAGTCACCAAATAACAGCTGAGCAATTCTGTTCTGTAGCCAAGCATGAACCAAATTCATGCAGAGAATTAAGAAGCCCTGGGGTCAAAGAAGGATTTTTTTTTCCTGCTGCACTCTACACTGTGGGAGAGAAGAATTGGGACAAATATCAAACACTAACTATGAATAAATAATTCCCTTGTTGAGTAAACTCCTGTATTCTCTTAGTTTCCGATTTTCTTTCTTCTACTTTTTCACTTAATATTACTATAAATAATTAGAGTTTTATCAAATTAGTATTGATAGAAACTCCCTTCCTGTATGAAGGAGAGCATCTGTGAGGAGGAAAGAATTGGGCTCCTGGAGGGGCCCCTGCATCTACCTCTGACACAGAGCCAGCCTACAGCTCCCCTTTTGCTCCCTGACTTGAAGGGAAGACTTTTCTCTCTGGAAGGGGAAGGTATCCAAAGGGTTTTGAATTGTGTCTATACAACAAAGGGGGTTAATTTGGAAATGGATATTGTCCCAGTGGGTGGCAAGTAGAGAACAGATTGCAGCTGGCTGAGAAAGAAGAGTGCATCTTCTGTCGCGGGAGGGCATCTCAAGATATAAGATCTTCAAGGTGAGGATGCTCTACCTTCACTCCTGTTCTTCCTTTCTAGTCCTTCTTGGTGATAGTCAGGAGAAAATGGCAAGCAAGTCTCTCTGTAAAGGGGCTGATTATGTCAAAGGGCTATGACTAGAATTCCTATCAAGGTCACTGGTTGCCACTTCCTCTGTCCTCCCTCTACATGGGATCTAGGAAGGGCCACACACTGGAGTAGTGGGGTTGAGGGTCCAAAGCCACCGTAAGTTCGGTGCTGCTGTTCTTATGTTACTGAGTGCCCCAAATTAACTCCCAGCCAGAGAGGAAATGAAGAAATTGTGCCTTCTCAGTCAAATACTATGGGAAAATGACCAAAGGATGGAACAATTTAATGAGATATCCATTTTCTTTCATAACTCCATTTGAGTTAAAGTAGGCCATATCTGGAATGTGGATCTCAATCCTAAAGAGTCGCCTGAGTTTGCCCTTCATGAGTTTCACAATCTTATTAATAAAATCAAAAGAAGCCCACTCTTTTTAAAAACTTCTCCCTGTAACCTGTAGTTCAGATGCAAGATTGTCTTCCAAATGCTTCACTTGGACTAGAAATAAAGAGATTCCAAGAAAAAAAAATGACCTAAGAGCTATACTCTTGTTCCAATTATGGAAGTCTCTGGGTTATAAATTTCTTATGAGTCAGGAGTTATTTCTGAAGGGCTTGTTAGGTTCTTTAACTTCCCATAACGCACACATGGTTAAAACATAGGAGGAGTGAGTCCACTAATAGTGTATCTTTGTATGTTAGAATAAGAGGATATGTCACAGTGCACTGTTTCAACAGAAATGTGATTTTTTAAAAGAATCAAATAATTAATAAGGTCTACATGTAATCAGCTAATGGTGATGAAGGGCATTTGGAAAGAGAGCCATTTCGATAGACCTTCCAGTTCTTTATGAGAACCAAATGCCCAAACCTCACTTAGAAATCTATTTCTTACAGGAAGTATAGTTTTGCCCATATTTTGAGCCACCTGAAATTACATCACGCAAATTCCTGGGGAAATGCACGTGATGTGGTTTCTTGCTTTAGCAACATAAGGCCAGACTTAGTGCTCTCTTGGGTTTCGCTATGTGGTCCCAGTGACTTTTAGGCCAGTTTGACAAGCCCTAGGCATCTCACTCAAGGTACTTACTCTGCTGATGGAGAACACCATGCCAGGCTTGCCAGAACAGACCCCCATGAAGCAATGCCGGAACTGCCAGTAGAAAAGATGTTCACAGATGAAGGTGATGAGGCTGAGTGCCATGGCTGCCCCCAACATGTAGAAGACACCTGCCATGTTGTCAATGTCCAGCTGGCTACTCATGACCTCATTCTTCTCATTGTGGCAAATGCCAGTGAGCCAGAGAGCTTCCAGTTCTTCCATCTCCCCTGGGAAGAAAAACAGATAGAGGAGGAAGAAAAGAGAAGGGGAGGAAAGGGGAAAGAGGAATATCGAGGAAGAGAGAAAAAACATAAGGAAGAGACAGGGAGACACACACAAAAAAAATGAGAGCAAGTTAGTAATTACTTTAATGTCACAGTATATATCAATTCATCAATGTATACAATCAATATTCAATGAAAACTTAATGCAGGCGTGGCAGATGATATGAATACATGACATATGGCTGCTGCTATCCTTTATCCAGTATAAATTGGTATATGTTGAGTTATATGTGACATAGGGAATTGTTCAAATTGGCGACACTCAGAATTATCAATGGGTTTTCACAGGGGGACTTGGGAATGGACACAGCAGGGAAATATATATTTTTTTGTTTTTTATGAGAAGGTATTCCAGGCAGATAGAGTAGTATGTTTAAGGGAAGGGGCTTTGAAAATTCAAGGCTCATTTAGGGAAAACATGAAGAGCTGAATAATAGTTGGCAAAACAAGCAGAATAAAAGACTGATGGGAGAATTCCAAGGACTTCTTTATCAGACGAAGCACTTTGAACTTTACAGAGAGTGTGGGGAATCATATAATGGTGCAACTCAGAAATATTCTCTCAAAACTGTGCCAGGCAGATTGGGAAGGGAAAGGAGACAAAAGAGATCAGCAGAGAGACTGATTTATTAAATACCTCAGAGTCCCTCTGATTTATAGATGCTATGTTGTAGTGGAAAATATGAAATGCAAAAGAGGAGTAAGCTTGAATAAAACAAGACCACTAAAATCAGACCTGCCTCCTCCACTTCACTGGCTATTAGAAATCAGAAAGGAAGAAACCCTAGATATAAGGAAAACAAATGAAATCACATGCTCAGGAACACCTCTCATCCCAGACAAGCAAGCAATATTCTAAAAATCTCATGAAGAAAACTATCTGTTCCAACAGTTCAGTTTGGTTAAAAAATAAAAAAAAAAAGAACTTTGAATTTTCTTATTAAAGCTTTGACAACTTTTACAAATCCTTTCTACTATTTTACGGGCTCCAGTTTTTCCTATAAGTGACAACAACTACAAAATTGCAGAAGCTCTTATATCAAAATTGCTTGTTCACACTCCAGCTACAACTGCCTATTAACTAGTGGAGCAATCAACTTTACCAGGAGTCTGGGAATCCACCTCTGGTCTTTGGCTTTAGATCTCACCCCTAACAACCACAATTCTGCAGACCCAATTTACAAAGCCACTTGGCTGATGGCCTTTGGAGCCATGCAGAGTGACTCTGCTTATCTGTAACTGGATTAGTTTCTATGTGGGTGACAAGAAGAGTAGGTGCTTTGGACAACATAGTGAAGAAAAATTCAGGAAACCAGGGTATAATAGGTCGAAGGGATTTTTCTTAATGCAAATTGGCTTCTCAGCCTGCTACCAGAATAGCCTGGGGCAGTGCTTTATGATATCTGCTGTTGAGGACCCTCGCTGTCTCCAAGCTCTTCCAGCTACAAGAGCAGGGTGGGAGAAAGGAAAGCATGGGAAAATGGCCCCACTTTGAATTCTTGGCCCTTTCTCAGAGCATATAAACAGCCAAGTCCTCCCACGGTTCCATCTACTATTTGGGCTACTTGGGAGGTGGCTGGCTATAATATCTGCCATGAGTCTTGCCCACTGTATTCCTGAGGGGTTGTTTATACTTTACAATCTTGAAATGTACCTTCTTGACCAACGACTTTAATTTCTTCCACCACCTTTCATCCAACATAGGTTAAATTGAGTCCTTCTACTCCCAAGTTCACATTATAAAGTCATAACCCCCAGAGCCTTATAATATGACTTTGTTTGGAACTATGGTCACTGCAGATGTAATCAGTTAAGATGAAGTCATACTGGAGTACAGTGGGCACCTGACACTAGGACTAGTCTTAAGGGAAAGATAAATTCAGACATAGATGTACAGAGAGAAAACATGTACAGGCAGATATCCACGTGAATCAGGGGAAGACAGAAGTCAGATGATGCTTCTATAAATCAAGGAAGGAACAGGGCTGGCCAGATAGCTCAGTGGACTAAAGTGCCTGCTTAGGCAGGAGCACAGACCGGGTTTCAATCCCAGGTGTGCTGTGCTGGCCTGAAAACAAGAGGATCACTACAAGTTCAATCTGTGTACTGAGACCCTGTAGACCCTGCACTAAAATATATAATAAATGAATAAACAAACAAACAAACAAACAAACGAAGGAACTCCTCACAGAAAGCTTGTCAGAAACCAGGGGAGGGATATGAAACAGATTCTCTCTTGTAGCCCTCAGGAGAAACTAATTTCACAGACACCGTGATTCCAAACTCCTAACTTGCAGAACTTGGAGAGAAGACATTTCTATTGTTTAAGTCACTCAGTTTGCAGTACCTTGCTATGTCAGCCCTAGGAATCGAATATATAGCCTCAAATCCCATCCTAAATTGTGAAACGCTTTTTGGAACTGCACAGGCTGGGTGAACAGATGAACAAGAAAGGCTGATGCCGCAGTCTGACCACTGGTAAGGGCTTCCTTTCCTTTGACTTACCATCTCCAAACAGCTGCAGGATAGCAAGGTCCACCTGGCGCTTCCACCCCGAGTCCTTTTGGATGGCAATGCCATAACCAGTGGAAGCAAAGACCTTGCCGCTGCCAATGGTCACCAGCTTGCAGCCTTCATCTCTGCCTGCCATGTAGTTCAGCACTGCGGCATCGTAGATGAAGGCATCCAGTTTCCTGCACAAGAAAGAAGCAGACACACAAAATCCAGAGCAGGAATTTTAGAACAAAAACTACCTATGGGGCCATTGATATAAGGCACCAGGGATCCAGAAAGCTATGGAGGGAGCTGGCTCCAAGTAAGGCTGAAGTTGGACCATGGCCAGAATCCAACGCCTGAATCCCAGGCTGTTCATTATGTGATTTCAGGTTGGAAGGAGGAGTTCTTTGCCTCCCACTGGGAATAATAAGAATGCAAGTTGGGCCTGAAGCCAACTCATAAGCTGTGTCTGAAAAGGAGAAGGAGTAAAAAGGAATCAATAAAAATAATAACAGAAATAATGAAAAGTAAGCACTACAATGATAACAAATAGCATGGGTAAGATTTATATAACATCTTTCATTTCTCAGTTCATTACAGTCCAGAGAAGTGATAAGTGTAGGTGTGCATGTTTCAATAGATGGGCAGTGCTATTTTTGTGGCCGTAGAGGTCCTGGTATTGTGTGGTGCAGCACAAGGAAAGAAGTACGCGGTGGGACTGTGGCAACACAGGCTGTGTGAGAGTAAATGTGAGGCCCTAGAAAAGCAGGCAACATATAAGGAGCTCAGACCTCTCCAATTCCTGAACATATAAAACCTTCCTTTTATGTATTGTGCTTGATAAGATTAGGAGTAAGGACAGGAAGGCATGAATCAATGTTAAAAAACTAAGATTTTATACACAAGAAAGGCAGAGGAAGAAATTTAGATAAAGCTGTACAGTTTATAGCTCTGAAAAGAATACCATGCCTTATCTGCCACTTCTGTACGGTGAGTAGTGTTCTCCCTCCTTTAGAAAAAAAAAAGTAAGCTTGCATGATATGACACAGGACATTTTATAAAAGCTGATCTTCAGGACAGGACCATAACAAAAACCCTCACAGCTCCAATATGTCTGAGAATTCTGGCCATACCAGGGTTCAGGCTACCTGAAGCCTTCCTACACCATCCTCTGCAATCTGTTAAGGTTTTATTTATGTGTAATAAGAATCCTGCAGTATTTTATGCAGCCACTCATCTAGGTGGCTCTAGCTCAGACCCAGAGCTGCAGGGAACTGGGAGGAGGTCCCCGTGCTGCTAGTCATTCTACAACGTATCTAGTGACATGATACATGGCCCCAAATCCCAACCTCTAAAATGGTCCAATAGCCATCGCTCCCCACAACTGAGGCTTCTGGAAACTAAACAGAAAAAAGGCCAAGGGTGCATGGTGCAAGGCAGCCCCGCACTCTGTTGCTTCACGCGGATCTTTTACTGAATGCGTACTTCTTGGATCCAAAGCTGGCTCACAGAGAAAGCCTACCAAAGTTGAACTGGAGATCAGACAGCTCCTTCTTACTTTTTATTATCTAAGATCTTTTACATTTTTATCTTTTATTTTTCCACAGTCCGCTGTACACCAGAACTATCATTTTCACCTCTTTAGAGACCATAGTTCTTTTTTTCATGCATGACCTATGAAATTTATCTTTGATTTTTCCTCTCTACTTTTATATCTATGTAGTCACTGTTTTATGATTACATTAATGCAATCAATAGAGAACAATTTGTGAAAAAATACATAGAAGTAAGAAATATAATAAGAACCTTTGTATATTGGCCTGAATTGTAACATCAAAAGTAACTGGGAAATCTGCAGACAGCAAATAGTCTTCTTTGATTTAATGTTTTATGGCACAAAGCATGATATACAAACACATCCTATTTAATCTAGGTGTAATGAACATAAGAAACCCATCACTCTGGGTATGGAAATAGTTCTTACCCTGTTTTCAGGGAGAGCAGTGCGTCATCTACACCCCGCTGGTTGAACTTTCCCATGTAGGCATGCATTTCCGCGTAGTTATTGCGAATGTTCCTCTCTGTGCTACCATTGGGCACAGTCCCAAAGCGAAAAGGGGGGGAGAAGTCATTAGGTCTCTGGAACTAGAGAGAGAAAGAGAAGGAACAAGGTAGATTCAATACTTTAAAAAGTATGAAGAGACATTAAGCTAGCATGAGCAGGTTAGTAGAAGGGATCCGCCTATAACTCACCAAACACATTCACCCTCACTCAATCAAGAGAGGCAGTTGCTATCTAGAAGCCGACTTGAGACTTCAGATTCCAGTACTATCCACTGAAGGCTATTGTTGAGAGATTTCTATTTGCTCCATCTTGACTTTAGTTCATAACCTTGTGTGACCCTTTAATACACACTGCACAGAACCAGTGATGATGACTGAGAAAGAGATATGCTGGGGCCCTAACAGTAGCGAAGGTTATCTTTATTTATTTGTTTATTTTGGTAGCAGGGATTGAACTCGGGACCCAGTGCTTGACAGGGAGGCATTTTGCCATTGGGCTATAGCCCCAGCCCACTTACTCTTATTTCTTAAAATTGTATAAAATCTATATTCAGTTGTCTTAATTTAGGACACAAAGCCTTAGTGAGTTGAGCTACATAGTATTCCTGAAGGTAGTGCATTGGTGTCAAATACATTTTGCTAAGAAATTTGCTCGTGACTTTCAAAGCATTCAAAGCTCATATTTAACCTATATGAGGTATTAGATAAATTGCAAGATCAAATGCCATATTAATTATGTCCTTGCCTTAGTAAAATAAAGAGTAGATCTCTGGTGTCTAGCACATTAAAATGAAACTTCTTGGATTTTCACCTCTATGACATCAGCTTTATTTCTGGCTATTCTCCTGCAATGAGTAAGTCTTTGTGTTGCTTTCTGAATGCATAATTTATTCCCTTGTAGGCCTAAGAAAACTGCAGCTCTTTAACAGAAACTCACCATATTCTCTAAGCCAATATATGTCCTTCATTTCAAAAGATAACTCAAAGCAATTTCTTCAGGAAACCTGAGCATTCTTTCTTCTGTAAAGTTTACCAAAGTGATCTATCAGTAATTGTTACTCTGGTTTAGATCACTGTAATTCATGCTAAAAATTTAATTACTCCTGAATGTACTAGCTAAGTAATGAAAGCCAGTCTCTAATGAAATCATGAAGAGTTTAAGTTAGAGACTGAAATAGATATTAATTGAAGAGCAGCTCGAACTCTTGGGTGCTGAGTGACCTTGGGCAAACCACACAAATTCTTTGTTTACCATTTTCTCATCTGGAACTGGGGAGATAGGCCAGTGACATAAGAGCCTGTCTGGCAAGTGCAAGGTACTGAGTTCAATCCCTAGTACCACAAACAAAACTATTTTCTCATCTGTTAAAAAGATGATAATGCTTAGTTTTCATTAGATAAAAATGAAAACTAGTAGATAGATAATTAAACTGTATAACATACATGAAGTGCTTAACCCAGGGCCCAGGACTCAGTAAGTATGCAATAAAAGTTCTTCTATTATTTTGAATGCATGTCTCTATTCTGTGTTTTCTAGCAAACTTTAGGCCCATTCAGACCTTCTTCTAGGAGAATTGCAATCATAGAATATGACTAAAATCTTCACGTATTCCCTACTGTATAAGTTACGTTAGAGATATAGTTGGAAATCTAAACTCTAATTTTTAAAAAATATTTACCCTGCTAATTCTGGAAATTCAGCATTGCCTGGTTTAGAAGCCATTCTTTTGTTTCTCAGAATTTGAAGGTTTCATGGGGCACAAACCACTGGAGCATCACGAGCCCCAAGCACCCTCTTCACTGCTCAGCATTGACCATAGTCAACGTAGGCTTGTGCCATGGTGTGGGATGCACCAAAAGACCACTGCTTCCTGACTGAAAAAGCTTCCCCTTTGACTCACCACAGTGCTTCAGTATTAAACACTTTATTTTTTAAGGATTTGTAATTTTTAAATGAATAAAGATAAATGCAGGGTACTTAAAGACTTTTAAGGTTGGATAGATTACTCAAGGTTTACTAGATTAAAAGTTTCATTTGGCAAATGATAAAACTGAGATCCATACAGAAAAAGCAAATGGGTCCGCTTCACACAGTAGCAGTGATACCTAAAGTTATCAGAGCTCAACTGGCCTGATTAATAGGCACCTCACTGTTCCTGGCAGATACTAAGTTGAAAGTCAATAGGAATTTGCTTTAGTGGAGATAGAAACCAGGATGTTTTTCTATATAACTTTCTAGTATATACTCCAGATGTTTGAATCAAGGTATTCCCCAAATCAGAAACAGAATAGATAGTATGGTAGGCAGCAATGTAACCCAATAAGCTTCATTTAATCAATAAATCCTCACTTTGCTAGGACAATGACAACCAGTGCTCATGATGACTATGATACTCTAGGGCTCAAAGTATTTTCTGAAATATCAATATAAGTTATAATCATGTCCAATATAGTTATGGTATAAATTAACATACTATGATTTGTTTTGAAGACTGGTAATCCATGCAAATCCACAAAACAATTTTGGTTAACTAAACAGAATCTTATACTGAGTATACCTCACTTTCTAGTGAGGGTTCACACTAGAAGCATTGAAATTTTCCAAAAACTAAAACAAGAAACCGTACAATGGCAAATGCTAGCAAGGCTCCAGGGGACAAGCAAGCCTTTCTGCATTGTTGGTGGTAATATAAAATAGTTCAACTGGAAAGCAGCAAAGAGATTCTTTAAGCAAACCAATTCTATTTGGTCCAAATATTCCATTTCTAGGTATATTTCCTAAAGAATTAAAAACATCTATACATACTCATGCTTATAGTAGCACAATTTTATAGTATCTAAATTTCTGAAGTGGTCTGTATGGCTATCCATAGATAAAAGGGTAAACAAATGTTGGTATTTACATATAATGGAGTGCTAGTCTTCCACAAAGAAGGATAAGCTCGAGTCATCATTGGGAAAAATGGGTGCAACTAGAGATCACAATGTCAAGTGAAATAAACTAGACACACAAGTTTAAATATTGCGCATTTTCTCTTACATGAATACATAAAATATAAATAAGGAGTAAAATAAAAGTAAAGAAATAGAAAGATGGAGTTTTGCAAAAGGGAAGAAGACTAAGAGATGGACGGAATAGAGTGGAGAAGGGAGTAGATTAAACAAACAAGACATGCTATGTACATGTACCTATACTCCTCTATGAACATACATCATTATGTACTGCCAAAACATAAAAATTAGAAAAAGAAAATTTCCATACTGCTTTCTAGTCACTTTTCATTTTAGGTCATCTTTACATTTCTAGATGCTGTTTTATAATTGTACTTTTGAATAAATAAAAACTCAAGAATTTATATTTAAAAACCTAGAAGAGCAAGAAAACATGGGCAAAGAAGAACAAAACTGAAAGATTTATACTACGTGAGTTCACATGTCATTGTAAATCTATAGTGCTCGTGACAGCATTGAGACAGAGAAAAGAGGAAAAGATCACTTATAACAAAAGAGTGTTCTCTAAGGGACCCACACAGACATGGGAAAGGCCATTTCAGGGGGAGTGGCCTCATTTTCAACAAAGGGCATGGAGATATTTAGATATTTATATGCAAAAAAGAACCTCACAAAATGTAAAGAAAGTAACTCAAGCTGGATAATATATCTAAAATGTCTATCCTAAAATTATAAAAATTTCTAGGAGAAAGTATTCATAACCTTGGGGTAGACAAAGATTTCTTAGACACAACATCAAAGTGAACAATCTACCGCCCCCCATTAGACTCCATTAAAATGACAAACTTCTCTTGAAAAGATTAAGCAGTTAAGATCATGAAAACATAAGCCACCAACGGAGAGAAAATATCTGAAAATAAATTAAAGCTATTAAGAATAAATTATATAATAGCATGGCAAACTTATATAGTTGCAGCATCTTCCATATGAAAATAATCAGAGAAACCATCCAGTCAGGAATGGGAAAAATGAGAAAGGGGAGTCCTGTGGAAAGAATTCATTTTGGGGAAGACCATTTGGATTTGAATTCCGTTGCTACCTTATATCACCCTGCAGGAATAGGATCAAGTGACTTAAATTTGCGGAGCCTCTTTTTTCTGGAAGTGTTTGTTTTAAGAGTCTCATGCTCTCCCCACTGAGCTAGCCAGGCACTTTGTTTGTTTTAAAGTGAATAAAATATAATAGGAGTAATACAGAGTTTCAGAACAAGGTGACAGGAAATTAATAATGGTCATTATACTGCATATTGTTATCTTCAAAGTAGTTGCTCAGGGGCTGGGGAAATAGCTCAGCACAATAAGCGCTTGCCTGGCAAGCGCAAGGCCCTCAGTTCAATCCCCAGTGCTGCAAAAAACAAAGTAGTTGCTCAGAATCTCAGATGTAGGCATGCAAAATTAATCAAACAATATAAATACAATCTAACGGCTAAGATAATACGTAGAAAAGATCTTAACACCATATCTAGCACATGGTGAATTTTCAAATTTGTTAGCTTCTGTAGCAAGAAAGTTCTAATATCTAAAGTTGTTCTGTGTACAGGAATGTTCGCTCAGATTGGAAAAGCTTGTTCTCTCATTTGTTCCTTAAACTAGGCCAGTTTGGGGTCCAGCAGGGAGAGTGCATTGCCCTAGAATCAGTCAAATCTGAAGCAGGAAAAAACCCCATTTTCTTTTAAAATTTCTTGTCCTCGCTTGACAAGATCTGTGAAGTTTAAATACAACACAGACTTTTAAAAACTGTCCTTGCAACCTGAACTTTACTAAAATTTGCATTCATGCAGAATTATATGTTAAAGGAGCCCAGGGCAAAGAACGTAGAAAAAGATCTTCCAATCTGCTGATGTTTCCAATAAATGCCTTCATAATAAAACTAACCCCAAGCTATCAGGTATTATTATTTAACCTGAGTGGCATTCAATGTTCTCTAGGGTTTCTTGGAGGAATAAAATTTAGCTGCATTAAGAACCAGAAGATATTTTAAAGTATAATAGAAAAGACCTTAAAAAACAGCTTTAAAAAAAATTTAAAACTCAATATAATAGGGAGACCAGTAATTACATTAAAACAGTC